GGGCACGGGGGCTCGCTGCCCGCCGAGCACGGCCGGGCCAGCTGGCTGATGGAGCTCACGTAGGCGTCCAGCGTCTCCTCCACGCTGCTGGGGCTGGCGGTGCCGGCGGGGAGCAGCGCCGCGCGCATGCTGCATGGCAAGAGGCAGGCAAGGAGTGAGCTGGCGGCACTTCCACGGTGTCCCTCATCTTGGCACAGGGGGAGCCCCCTTCTCTCCCAAATCTTCATGCCCGCAGCCCACACACGGCCCTGTGTGACCCCATCAGAAGACCCATCTTACACCACCCACCTCTCTGCGTGCAAAGCCACCACAGCAACACGACCTACTAGGCACCTCGCTACTGTTAGGTAGCGTTACCACTTCTAACAAGCCGTTTCTGATCCTGTGAACCCATCCCATTGCAGAGCGGGGTCAGATCCCCACCCCCGAGCTTTGTTCCTTGCCACTGACCCAACCTTCATTCAATGTCCAAGATCCATGATCTTTGACCAGGCAGAGGAAAGAGCAAAGAGCAAAAAGGAAAAAAAAAAAAAAAAAAAAAAAAAAAGCCTGTGCTGTTCCCAAAGATAAGAAACTGGGCTCCGGCTCACCTTGCAGTCAGGAATGGCCTGGATTTTGTTTGGATGGGTTTCTCTGTTTGCAAAACAAGAAATCCTCAGAGAAAGAAACCCTCTGCTTCTGCTGCTGTCGGAGGTGTGGAGTTAGCCAGCTCCAGCCCGTGCTCACAGCCGCTGCAGCGGTGCGGCTCCGGAGGCCTCGGAGTGCTCTCGGCGCGCCGGCTCGCTTTGCTCCTGCCTCCCCAGCGCCTGAATTTATACCTCCCCGCTGCTGCAACTCGCAGGCAGCTGCTTCCAAAAATAGCAAGGCCAGGGGAGCACGCACAGCTCCGGAAAGGCACGGGGAGCACGGGCAGTCCTCAGCGGAAAAACCCCGGCCGCGGCAAGGGAGGGCCCCCGTGCTGTTGACCGTCGTTCCAGCACGTTTTGTCTTTCGGAACCACCAAGCACATTGTTAGAGCCTTGGGAAAGGCTGCGGGGCCCGGGGCTGGCGTGGGAGCGCAGCGGAGTCCCGTCCCCGTCGCACACGTGTTCAATGGGGTTTTGTTTTCCTGGCAGGGAGGCTGTTGCTACAATTCCCTGGGAAAAATACATGGTATTCAAAGGCAGCTGAGGGACAGGGGACACCCAGGTGCTGCTCGGCCGCAGCAGCCGTGACTCCGTAAGCCCACGGGGGTGGATGGGTTTTAAAGGCGGGTCCGGTGCCAGCCATGGGGCAGCCCTCGGGGAGCCGGGCAGGAAGGTGGCTGCTCTGGTGCTCTCCCATCCCAGCTCTGCAGGATGGGACCTGCTTCCCCCGCTTTTTTTTCCACCCTGAGAGCGGGCCGGCCCCTCACCAGCACAGTTGCTGCCACTTCCCTCCGGTGGAAGCAGCCGAGCCAGGCAGCTCACCGGAGGGGGATGCTGAATATACCGAGTATACCTGCTCCCCTTCCCCAAAGCCGGACAGCCCGAATAAACCTGGAGTGGCCTGAGGTGGCCCGGGGCACCAGGCAGGGGGAAGGCTGCTGGGGGACAGCGATGGGTTCCTGCTGGGGAGGCCAGCTCCTTCCTGGCAGGAGCTGCGCAGGGCCGGGGCGAGGGCCACGTCGCGCCGGCGGGGCGGGCCAGGCCGCGGGGCGGGCGCCATGGAGG